AAAGAGAGAAGATTCAGACTAGATACAAAGAAGGAATTTTTTTACAACGATGGTGGTGAAACACTGGAACGGGTTGCCCAGAGAGGTGGTACATGCCCCATCCCTGGAAACATTCAAGGCCAGGTTGGATGGGGCCTGAGCAACCTGATCTAGTTGAAGATGTCCTTGCTCATTGCAGGGGGGTTGGACTAGATGACCTTTAAAGGTCCCTTCCAACCCAAACCATTCTATGATTCTATTTTAGAATACACCGACTGTAAAAGTCTGGCACAAGTAAAACCACTATGAAAGGCAGCATATAGTAGAGCCATCCCTAAATCTGCCACTCTGCAGATTTCATATGTCAACTTCTGTTGTTTCTCAATCCTATCCAAACACAGCATTCTGCAACATAACCCAGTGGCCTCAAATCCTATTGAAGCAATTGGAATTTGACAGTGGTCAGCTTCTTACCAAGGCCTCAATGATTTCAGCATATTTAATAAAATATAGTTAACTTGGTGACAATACAGACATGAAATACTAATTTAACTTTTTTTTATTTTTTAAACATTCTATTGCTTAACCTCTTAAAATCTAATTTAGGTTATGAAAATCTATCCCATGTTCTTATCTGAATCTCCCTGCCTCTACAATTCTTCTCTTTTATTAGCCACCATAATTCTGCTATCTACTATGAAGTAGTCCATCACTTGCTCAACCCAATCAATTCTGATCATCCTTTCATCAAATTCTCCCCCCCACTTCCTATCAATTATTGCAATTTTTCTCAGAAAGGTCAGAAATTACACTCCCCTTGTCTGTATCAACACTTCAAAATCCTGACCACTTCCCTGATACAGAACACTTACATGATAAATTTAGGTCTAGATTACAGTAGGGGAAATTTGCCAGACCATGAATAGTGGCACAGCTGCACAAGCAGATTCCTCCCAGCATATTATACTGGCAAAACTGTTCTGAAGGTAAAGATAAAACCAGTCTCCAGACAAAGTAAATCATATACTGCCAAAAGGCAGCTACAGGTTTGTTATGACTGCATTTTCAAACACAACATTGGACTGCTCAAAACTTCCAAAACCAGTCAAATGCCCCAAAGATTACCATAAACCTGGCTTTAGTCCTAGGGTCTGAAAGCTGTGAAACTAAAAATTAATATTTGATTTTACTTTTTAGATATTCTGGGGATGCTTGGGATGCCATGACACTTTGGGATAAAGCTGCAACAATGCTCAGAAAATGAGTTTAAAAGGTTTTGGTACCCATGAGAAGAACATTAAAATAGCACATCATCTGGACAAGTAAGCCCTTGCAGTTTTGGGGGAGAGCAAATTTTTTCAGAAATTTTCACGGAGTAGAAGTAGTGTGCAACAGTAAAAGGAGAAACTGAGATGATTGAGCATGATAGTAGGCTCCAGCTTGTAAAAAGCAGTGCTTTAGTATTTCAATAATTAAGGACTTCAGGATGTGACAGATGAAAGCTCAGGAAACACACAGGAGCTTCCAAGAACAAAGGCAGCATCAAATATGCAAAGGGAATACATGCTAAAGATTATTGCATGTTTCACAAAAAATGCATGCAAGATGCATAGTTCTGATTGACCTGTGATCCATACGATAGATACCATCAGAATGACTGAATGCAACCTGACAAAACTAGCTGCCACTGCTTCATCCTCCCTTGGAGGAGAAACACTTCCTAGCATTAATCTAGAAGATAATATCTGACAGAGGCCAATATCCTTTCTTTTTCTAGGGATATAATAATGGTAAAAATTGCGTCATCCTACATTTCATAATCCTTCCACTTATTTCAAGAGGCTTAAGTGACAGCTTCCCCTACAAAATGAACATATATTAGTACTCTTATTTTACAATCACTTAGCAGGCAGTAATAGTTAGGAGACTTGTTTTGCAATATTAGAAGCACATAGATGGAATAATGCTTCCAAACTAAAACAGAAGTTACATACAGAAAGTCTGCCATTCCCTAAACACCGTTAATGGAAACACTCAGGAAAAACTGTCTCCCAAGTATGGGCCTTTGTAGACAATCTGTACTGTAAGTTTAGTCAGTTGGTGCCAGTAAAAGTTACAACCTCCAAAAGAAGCTGAAATAAGTTACATCACTGAAGAGTGATCTTGTTTTATTTTAGATTAATATGTGTGAGCCTGCCCTGTGCACTGAATCTCATGGAATACAGCTGTCCAGGACTGAACTTTTAAGAATAAGGTATTTCTGAGATATAAACAAATGACGAGATTAGAACATTCTTCTAGTATGTAAAAAACCCATTATTTTAGCGCTCTAAAATAACTTGTCAGATTTACTCTATGCTGTCCTCAAGAAGTAAGTTTTCAGCTTCAGTTTAAGCAAGTGAAAATCATGTCAAAGAGTACTTGAAAAGTGTATTTGTGGAAGTTAAAACTGCTTTACAAGGAAAATATCTCTCAATCAAAACTATATAATCCTTCCCATAAGGCACCTGTAAATCACATATTTGACTATTATGGAATAGTGTTAACCCACTGAACCAAAAGCCAGTATCAAAACACCACAAACCTCTGTAAATGAAAAAGATGTGGACTCCAGTTCCAAATGTATTACTAATCATAATACTAACACATTTATTGCCTGTCAAGTCTCCTCAAATGAGATGGAACACTTACTAAACATTGAGCAGTAATACTTAGTCACTCTACCATGCTTTCCAGTTGGGGAACGAAGTACATTTATAGCACATTTAGAGGAAGCAAGTGCTCATTACTACCGCTGTACACAACACAGGCATAAAACACTCCCAGTGTCTCAGGTTTTGAAAGACACTATACTCTCGACCTGAATCTGAAAAAAAAAGTAAAACTAATTTTCAGCAGGGCACACTGCATCATCCAAAAGGGGGATTCCCATTGCTACATTGTCCACTGTGTGTCCACATGTGAATCAAGCAAGATTTTAAAATACATCTTAAGTTATAATTTTCTAAAAGGAATGACACTCGTACTCATTTACCTGAGACTCCACAGTGAATGTGATCATAGAGATGCTGCTGGTGCATGGTAGATTTTTTGTATATAACATGAGGATGACCATTCTCATAATCAAAGTTACTAGAATCTTCTGTTATATTCCTTAAAGGTTCAATAAAATACTCTTCATCTTCTGTAGCAATGACTCCATGCTTAAAGAAGAAAATAAGAAAATAAAAACTTGCAAAAAAGCAATATTAAACTCCTATTAAAAAGCTTAATTTTAAAAAAAAAAACATTTGACTATCATCTATCTCTGTGAAGAAATCCACAACTATAAGCCAACACAGAAAACAATGCATGAGCCAGCTCTCCCCCACTGATTTTAGTGGGAGCAGGAGTAAGCACCTATAAGCAATGCAATGAGAAAAGAATAAAAATATCATTGCCCTGTTTCTGGAGGTCTTTCCCATCATTTTTGGTGGATGTGGTTTAGAAAGCAAGAGATATTCTTAGTATATGACAACTAATCTCTTCACAGAGATGTTCCAAAACTACATGATTCATATCCATTAAAAGTGACGCCAAGCCAAAATGGCATTGCTCAAACAGTGAGACCAATATCCCTCTATGATGCCATACCGATAGATGCTTAAAGCCACGTACTGCATCAAAGAAAAACAGGACTAATTTTAGAACATATATTCAGGGAAACCATTCAGCATTTTACATCCAGATGCTTAATTCCAAAACTGAGCTACTTATGAAAATCAAATTATTAACTTAGGATACACTATCTACAAAGCATTGATTCCTTAAAAGGTCTTGCCACAAATCTGGCAAATCCAAGTTATTGCACACTGTGCACTAGACCTCACTCTCTATAACGAATGAACATTTTTTTTCCTCATACTGCAGTGCAGAATAGTAGATATTCTATTCTCCTAACTTTCACATTTGTGAACTCAGCTTCTTCCAAACAGGAAGTGGTTTATGGAATTAAGGGGAGATTTCAGGCCAACTATGCAATTTCCTGAACCTTCAGCAATTAAAACTGAACTTTAGCAGAAAATCCAGTTTTGGGATCCTTTTGGATACAGAAATATTGGAGAATAAGCCCTGACAGACTCCTACACCTATATTTGCTAGATAAAAAATTCTGGTATCTGTATCTAGAAAATTCTAAATATATGAACTTTCTACACCAGGAGAAAGAGTTGCTCATCACGTATGAGACTGGAAGCAGGAACTTCTGCATTCATATCCTGATTTGATGAATCACAAATTTCTATCGCACCTTTGATCTGTAAAGCAAGTACTATGCAGGTGCCTTTTTTTAAAGGGGCTATTTTTTCCCTCCATTGAGACCTCTATGATCAATCAGCCATAAGACCACTTACTCCATATCTGCTCTAAATATCCTAAAGCTGTTTCTAAGATCAGGGCTTGCCATTGTACTCTTGGTGAAAGCTCTCATCCTCCTGCTGGTTTGTACATCAAATGCCTGCTGCTCTTCACTCCTGGAATAACTGGATTTCAGTAACAACATAAAACTTACGAAATAAAAACGAATGAACTTTTTTTCCTCATACTGCAGTGCAGAATAGTAGATATTCTATTCTCCTAACTTTCACATTTGTGAACTCAGCTTCTTCCAAACAGGAAGTGGTTTATGGAATTAAGGGGAGATTTCAGGCCAACTATGCAATTTCCTGAACCTTCAGCAATTAAAACTGAACTTTAGCAGAAAATCCAGTTTTGGGATCCTTTTGGATACAGAAATATTGGAGAATAAGCCCTGACAGACTCCTACACCTATATTTGCTAGATAAAAAATTCTGGTATCTGTATCTAGAAAATTCTAAATATATGAACTTTCTACACCAGGAGAAAGAGTTGCTCATCACGTATGAGACTGGAAGCAGGAACTTCTGCATTCATATCCTGATTTGATGAATCACAAATTTCTATCGCACCTTTGATCTGTAAAGCAAGTACTATGCAGGTGCCTTTTTTTAAAGGGGCTATTTTTTCCCTCCATTGAGACCTCTATGATCAATCAGCCATAAGACCACTTACTCCATATCTGCTCTAAATATCCTAAAGCTGTTTCTAAGATCAGGGCTTGCCATTGTACTCTTGGTGAAAGCTCTCATCCTCCTGCTGGTTTGTACATCAAATGCCTGCTGCTCTTCACTCCTGGAATAACTGGATTTCAGTAACAACATAAAACTTACGAAATAAAAAATCCTGTATAACACATCAGAATGAGCAGTGTTTTCCAAATATAACCCTATTATAAATTTTTTAAATATATGTATGAGCACATTGCAGCTTTCAATTACACATTCCTTACATAGTGACTATAGCAGTAAGTGTTCCTCTTCAGCAGTATTTTTCATTATTAACTCAATTATTTACTCAAGAAGGTAACATCAGGGTCTACATTCACCTGGAAGATGCTGGTAACAAATTCCTCTTACAATGCCTTCTTGTCACTTGGAGTCTAAGATTTTACTAGAAAATAAATCATTTACTGGTACACTGCTGCTTTAAATAGTATTGAAAATATAAACCAAATTGTAACTGGGTTTGCCAGATGTGCAGAAAGAACCTTGACATTCTGGACTGCATCCAGTCTGGATGTCAGACATCTGGGTTCAAGTGAATCCTGAGCCATTATAAGCTCTGGTATTATGTTCCCACAGGAAAAGAGTCCTGCAGGGTGGTTCTGGCCAACACCATCAGGCTGTCCGCTTCACGCCAAGCCTGAGGAGACAGAGGTATCATCCAACCTGTGGCTCTGTCTCTGCAACAGAGCAGGTCTTAACCTAAGCCTGATTACTCCAGAGCATATATCCTTCATGTCTGTAGCCAAGTCCAGCCAGGCTAACAAGTCTAAGCATGAATGAGACATTTATATCAGATACTGAAACTGATAGTTTTAAGCAGTGAGATGACCTCAGTGGGAGTGAGTCAATTCAGATGCCATAATCCACACTTAACTGTAGCATTAATTCTCTACACAAATTGCATATTTGCAGGAGCAAATATGCAAAAACTATTATGAATGTCTGCAAACTATGATCACAGTTCCTTCAGATACCAGCAGTGAAAAAGCTTAGGAGAGAATCACTAATATTTCCTATGCCTAGCTGACATCTGACCTCATCTGCCCAAACACTACGGTGGTTTAAGAGAGGAGAGATTTTAATAACAGTTGAGGAACTGCAAATACATTTTAACTTACACCTACCACCAGGAAGTCAGAACATGTATGTGGTCAGTTGCTGCGGCTAAGCCAAGTGATTTGATAAACGCTGGAAATGCAATTGCCCTGCATATGCCCTTCACATAAGCCCAGCATAGTTGTACCATTTTAAACCTAACATACTAATTTTGCTTGCAAACAAAACTGTTCTTCCAATATTAAACTGATGAAAGTGGTCTTGTCGAATTGCAGTGCCTGATTTTTAAGAAGCACTCTGAATTCTGTACATAAAAAGTATTTATGTCAGTGACAAGCAGCATTTATTCTGAGTTTAGAAAATTCATGTGGCTAGAGATACTTCCATTGTATGTGCATTCAGCAATACCTGATTAATAAATCGTAGGAATTATGCTATTATATCCAAACCAACATTCTAAATGCCATTTTGGGCTTATAATCTACTATTTGAGCAAAAGACAATTTCAGTTGAAAAAGCAGATTGTAATAATGACATTTTAAAGAATTAAAAGGAATTTTTTTTTCGTTTTGCTGTTGTATTTGAACACTTTGTAAATTAAACTTCTGCTCCAAAGCAAAAGAAATATCATTAAGACATAAGAATGACCAGCAAAAGGTTTTGAGAAAATGCCGTGAATTTAAGAAACAAGCTGAATGCCCCAAGTAAGTTACTACAAGCAACATTCCCAAGATTATTATATAAAACAGATTGTTTGAGGTCCTGTGTTATCCAGTCCCACTACAGACTGCCAGCTCCTGCTAACATATATAAGGTCTGGATCCAGCAGTTTGACATGCTCAGACAAATCTGTGAATCCACATGGAGTTCCCCTGAATTTGTGAAAAGGAATCTTTTTCTGTCAGGCTGTCCAGCTGGGGCATTAACCTCCCTCAGATGGGGGGTGCCCATCAGTCACAGAAGCAAACTGAATTATGGATGACAAGTAAGCGCATGCCTTTTCCACACAGTACTATTGTTTTACATTTTTTCCATGTCTTGAACCTTCCTGGACTTCACACTTTCTCCATGTTTAATATAAAGTAGTAGTAATGGAAACTTCTGAAAATGTGTCAGTGTTGTTTAGTTTGTCTACAGCTGGCTATACACTTCAGTGTGGTTTTATGACTGAGGAAAAAGATTGCATTTGGTTACTGTGTTCTTAAAGATGAAAAAACAGTGATCTGGCCTAAGACAGTATATCATGGAATCTAACAAGACCCCTTAAAACTAAGACAGGTACAGCTTATATATAATTTTCTGAATACTAAGTCCACACTGCAAATACATATTAGTACCAAAGAGAACTCCAAAAACGCTGATCTAGAACACTAAATCCTTTTCAATATAATTTCTGATCTTTATAAATTATTTTATAAATTGAACATGAATTTACATACAATTCAAAAATACCATACTATATGCAATTTATAATCTATGAAAGTAGATGCATTCTTTATGGTGGAATCAGCTTTCAAATGAGCTCATTTAAGAATACAAATAATTTATACATACATATATTTAGGAATACATGAAACAAACATGAAGTCTTCCAGAAAAATAATTCCTCCTTTAACCAAGTAAGGTGATGCTTTTAGCCACAGCCTACTTCTTGTGCTTTCTTTATCTGTTTGGATGGAGACATCTGTGCTACCCAGCACAACACCCACCTGGTGTATGGAACTTCACATGCCATGGAATACCTGACCTTTTACATTAAACATTTCCTTGGAACCAAAGCAGCCTCAAAATGTGATTTAACCTCTCATTCACTTTCCTAATAATAATCACTTTCTACACATTTTAAACTATTTCCCACTACTGGACTTTTCAGCTTAAAATGAGAAAACCTGCTACTGTAGAAAACTTGTTTGAGCACTCGGTTAAGAGCTTTGACACCTGGCAGAGGACAGAGGTGGGTCAGAATGCAAGAAGTTTGGTTTCTGCTTGATTCCACTACTACGAGCTCCAGAACTTTTCTTCTTCAAGACTTGTTCTCCTCAGAAATAGACAAAATTATTTGCCTTGAGGTAAAGTTCTCCCTTCAGCCAGTCTACCACTGTTTCTTCTCTTCTTTCCTTCAGTACAACATAGTCAGCTTACACAATGCCTCAGCCTTGTTGCCTTGCACCCAACACCCAAAGGCCTCAAAATGCTGCTCATTGCAGGCTCTTTCATGAGAAGGCCAAACCTCCAATCCATCCATAAATGTAACATCCACTAAAGTAAATATGAGTTTGGAAGCCAGCAAGCCTGCCGGACAAGACCTTCAATTTCCTCACATGCCTGCTCACTGGATTATAGAGCTTTCCTCATAACTCCAGACAATTTATAGCATAAACAGGGCCCAGCAGATGGAAACTGCTGGAATGAAACTTCAGTAAGTAGCAGCCTGTAATTCTGGGGCACTTGGTAATGAGAAATATAGAGGGAGAGGCTGAAACAGGAAACAGTGACAGGAAAATGAACTGACTGCTCATCACTTTTATTATGATGAAACTGAGAGAAAGCCCTCCTTGCACTACAACTCATCTTAGATACTGCAAGTGCTCTTCAAAGTCTACATACAACTTACGTTCATTAGATCATGGTCTCACCTGACCACCCTGAATAAGTAAACAGAACAACTCAAAACATTCACTAAGAGGAAGAAATTTGACTCATTCAGCAATACTGAAGCCTAACAGGACAACTGGAATAAATGGAATGCTTAAATTTTGTTCGTGAGCAACAATGACTGTTAAAGATTACTACTTGCTTTAGTGTTAAACTTAAAATGACTAACTTTGAGACAGATGTTAATCAAGGACTATGCAGAATGTGACTGGCAGTCTCTTACAGACCAACAACCAGACTGGAAAATACAATGAATGCCTTAAGCACGACATATTCTGAACTATCACTAATTCTAAAACAAGTAATATTGTCTTCAATATTCACTGCCAGTTGCTTTATTAAACATGTTCTAACCAGCAGCTGTATAACAAAATATTTGTCAGTAGGAATCATCATTTAAAAATAACTCCACGATGGATTTATCTGAATGGAGTGGTAACTCCCATACTCAGTACTCTGGAAGGCCCTGCCAACGCTGGATGACAGATGAGCTTCTGTACAGTAGAGGATGATAGTGTGTCGAGCCTACCGCTGCACCCCTCTGCAGGATTCCTGCCTCTCTGATAAAGAGCCTTGTGTCACCCCTGCTGCTGCTTCTGGAGCATGACAGGAGCCTCACACGCTTGTGACTAGGCCTTTCTAGGAGATGCAGGGGACACCTGACACTTGCAGTCCCAAGTAAGAGGCATGACCATGAAGAACTCAAGAGTACCAGTTGTGGTGCACCCAGAGACTGGATTAAGGCTGCCTTAATACCTGGAAGAAACACGTAAGAGCTGACGACAACTAAAAGCACTGATGATGACAATTTAACTGGGAAGCACTTCACACTAAAGTTAACTTACAAACACTAAGTTAACATACTGACACCTAGAACCACACAAGAGCAGGCGGCTTCACTCCAGCAAAACAGCAAGGCTGAGGGCAGAGGCAAAACACACAGCAATGGGAATGCTAACTGTAACCTCAGAGTGTGAGGCACAGAAGCAAAAAGAAGATTCTGCTTCACCACAATACCCTCCATGCTGCTAAATTCACTGAAGAAAAGAAGTGCCATGAGGAGCGAGAGATGGGAAAAGCTGATAGGAAAACGTGGGCTTTTTCCTGCTTCATCCCACTCTTGTTTTCCTAACATGAAAGGAAAACAAGAGTCAGCTAAGGCAAGAGCAGGCATTCTTGGCTCACTCCCTGGCCGAGGTCAAAGAGGAACTGAAATGGGAGCACCATGGCACTGACTGCAGGCTCCAAGGGGGCCAACCAGTCCATGCCTCAACTGGCAGAAACTCTGGAGATACAGGGGCATGCAGCCTCTTTTAAAGAAGCGAGTCCCAAAAGTGGGGATTTGGTCTCCATAGTATTTTTAGCTGAAAAGAGCTCAAAAGCAAAATGATTGAGTATATTAGTTTAAGAGGTTAAATAACTGCGACAAAAAAAGTTACTATATGGGAACTGCAAAACCAAAGTGAAAATTGTACTAAATTCAGACCTATCCACTACAAGTCTGCCTTACTCAGACTGTGATACCACACTCAATGGAACACCATTTTAACTAAATTTCTTTGAAAGTGTTCACTTAGCCCTGGAAATCCCCATTAAATTCCTTTTCCTCAAGAGTACGTCGAAATGTTAACCTAGACTGTATTGGGATATCACAAGTAGCTGGGTATAATGCAACCTATCTAGGTCTCAAGCAGCTGGTTTTTGTTTGTAAATAACATCCCAAGATGCATTATTCAATAGCACTTCCAAGGACAAATAGGAATTAGTTTAGCAAGTCTGCGTAATCTTTTTTTTTCCTTAGCGATTAGTTAGATCTGTCTATTCCTAACAAGATTGACCAGTGTTCTACCATAATTAAAACCAGAATGAATACCCATAATACATACAGATATTTTTACTAGAAAAATTACTGGTTCTTGATTTAGTATTTCCTAGTCATGCCCTTCTGTTGTAGTATTTTGTTACTCAATAGTCTGTTTTTTAATTTTTTGCATTCGTTTTCTAATTTCTGTTGGGAGTAAAAGAAGCTTTTTCCCATGCAAGTACTACCATCATGTGATCACGAGATCAACAGCGGAAGAGAAGATGAGAATAAAAGAGATGACCATTTATAATCCTACTTTTAAATGCAACTGTGTACAATTGTAAACAAAATTTTAAAAAGGTAAATAATTACTTTCCGATGCTGCTGCTTGCACGGGATCTACTTTCCCCTTTGAATTTATAGCAATGATGACTTCTACACCAAGCAATTCCTCTTCTCTGTTATTTACTCAAAGTTTCTAAACCCGAATTCTCAAAGACAACAAGCTAGTGTTCAGTTCAATCCATGTCTCTCTGAAGACATTCAGCATCCTAAAGGATCCACTGTTTCCTCCTCCTCGCCCCTTGAGCTTGCAACATTTTTATAACCTGTAAGGATCTTAGCACAGACCTCATCTTGCAGCCCTAGTGACACTGTGCAGACACTGTGAACACTAAAAATGTTGCCTGCTTCAAGACTGGGTCAGAATCCTGGACAGAACTGGGTCTTTCAAGCTTGAGAAACTGACTACTTTTCCCCAAGAGCCAGGTCGGGTTTTAGGAGTTTTCTGCACCTTCCTGTCTGCTTGCTTCCATCAGGGACCCAAAAAACTGAAAGATATGCCAATTAAGTTCTTCTTCTGTAATTTAAAAGGGACAAGCACACTATTATACTAGAACATGTAATGTGCACTTACCAGACCATTGCAGTTGCTTAAGGCCACTTTAGTTGTACTGTGTTGGTCTTGTAAATATCCCGTGTAATGACAGTGGTCTAAAAAATCGTGCTTCCATTGCGGTCCATCTTTCCCCCAGTATTCTACTGTAACATGTCTGGACACCAAATCTGTGTTGAGAGTCAGGTTTAAATGAAAGTGCTTGCCATAGGCAGAAAGTTTAAAAAATAATCTAGATGCTGCCAGTTCTTGGTCATAAGGGTCTGTGCTCCTCCTCCTTCTTGAGGGTTTAGCATTTTTCACAGTAAAGCTGAGGAAGGCTCCATTTTGATCAACCCTTATTGGGATTGTTAGTTGGTAGTGTTCAAGGTAAGACAGGAATTCCTCTTTGTAATCACAAGGTAAGACAGTCCAGGGAGTGGGCATAGAAGAGAAGAAAATACAACAGGAAGCAACAAGTAGTAGTATAAACACATAAACCATACTTGGCTAAATCTCATCACCCTCATAAGTAAGTCATTTTCAGGTAAACACAAGACATAGCATTTTACTAAATAAAATAAAACGCTCTTTTCTTTCTAAGCCAAGAAAATATGTTCAGTTTCCTAGTAATTTGATTTCACTGGAAATACAGAAGATTTTAACTACATCTTTTCCTATTTATCCCAAATATGTAAACATTTGGGGCTAAATTCTAACCTAAGACATACACATTCTTCCCAGTGATACCATTCAAAGTCAAAAGCTATCAGATCCACCTGAAAGAATAAAAACAGTAGTAATGAAAAGTATTATATTGTAAAAACATGTAAATGGCTCTTCATTTCATTAAAAAACCTACAAATGTTAATGGATCAAAGTAAGATTAGACCCTTAGTTCCTAGTCTAAAAGCATGTTAATGTTGTTACAGCAAGTCTCTAAACTATTATCAAGTACAACGTTTTACTAGATTTAATTTGCAAGGCTTTCCTACACTTAAAAGTAGACAGAAAGAGATTAAAACAAAAAATTTAATCATATTTGCTGTATTTAAACTTCCATGACAATAAATCATGATAAAACTAAGAGCAGAGCCCATATGATCTCATGAATTATATAAACATGGTTTAGAAAATATTACCCAAATGCAATATAAAAATAGATGCTCCTTGTCAGCTACAGAGGTTGGACCCCTACCTTGAGAACTATATGAAAGCCTGTTGTCACTGTGAAATTCCGATGAAACCATGACTAGGCTCAAAATCCATGTCCACGTCTTCCAAAAAATTTCCATAATTTAGAAAAACAGAAAGCTCTTTTTTTTTTTTTTCTCTCCTTGGAGAGCTACCTGTGTGCTATAGAGTTAACTCCACTCCAGAATCGCACCATAACAGGTATATTTCTTTTATACTACTTCCAAATTAACTATTGGATGTTCCACTTTTTGAAAGGTATTCTTTTCCAACAACCTGTACTTTCTTCTATATCTGCAGTCATTTTCTCAATTCAAAACAAGTATTTGTAAGATTCCTTAAGATATCAGTAAGACGTTAGACTGGATAGTTACTGAACTCGCTCCATTTGTTTTCCTGAAAAAGAAAAGAAAATAAGTCAAGGCAAAAATTTTTCTACTAAAACAGATCTATACTGCAAAACACTAAGCCATCATAGTGAACTACCCAATGTAACATTTTGAAATAATATTCAACCGTTACCACTTTTATGGTCCAAGGTCACAATCTTACAAAAACCATAAATTACCATTAACCTTGAACATCAGACCCATACAGCTTAAGATGCATGTATCAACTCTATGTTAAAGGTGTAAGGATTCATAAAATTAAGGTTTCTTGTTGCTTAAATACTGTGTTCAGACTTGTTCCAGCTATAATCAATGCTATGCACTCATTGATTTCAGCGGTGAATAACTAGACCCAATACACTGGTAGACAAAGGAAGAACCTGGGAAAGAATCCAGAGTACAGTTATCTGATCTTTCTGTAGCATGTATTTCGTTATTACTTGGGCCTGGGTTCTGCTTACGCAGGCAAAATTCTCATTCACTTAAATGGAAATGCTGCACGTTCTAATACCAAAGAACAAGTCTCAGTATCTAAAGCTAGTCATCATACACGTTCTAATTTTTCAAGTATTTGTTGTCAAAAATGTTTTGTATATATCTTAACTACAATGTGATGTAGTAGAATATATTTTTATTTTCATTTTGCAGGTCACAGGATGGAGCAAATAACGTGTTACTTGCCCTTTTTTTTTTTTTTTTTTTTGCATGTAAAACCTTCTTGCAGCAATACTAAAAAGCAGCTCTAGCTGCAGCCAGATATTAAATGGAAGACCTATGCAGTCAACTAACAGTCCAGTATCATGGGATACCAAACCATGTGTTGTGTCAGCTGGTACTAATCAGTCCTCTTAGGCACTTGCAGCACACCTGTGCATAGGGCAAACTCTGCTGAGGCAGACAACAGAGAAACAGAACACCTAAGCAGGGAAGACTGTTTAAAAACCAATTTCCAAAAGCATAGAGAGTCACTTACACATGCACCAGACAAACTTGCTGTTCTAAAATTCTAGGAATGATTCACAACACTCATTCAGACAGGTAATACCCCTGCAGCCAGTGGATTATTTGTAAAGGTTAAAAAGTTGTAGCATATCATCTCAAGAAAAATCAACATCATGCAAATCCTATTTACTAACATCACAGTGAATATTAGGAAACTTCTTAGCCAATGCGAAACGCATCTAATTATTAATCTGTAAAACAGGTTAATCTGATCATTCCAATACCTACTTTTTAAATCTCTTTCAAGACAGCACACTGGATTTCATCAGGTTGGTAGAGGGAATAAAAGATACTTTGCAAGCATAGCTTGGGCTTAGTAGTATTTTTTTTCTGGGGAAGCATAAGGATTTAGTGATGCCATTCACATGCAGCAAGGCCTGAAAGCATATTAGTAAAACCTCTGGTCTGGCCTTCCATGTAAAACCTTTACTTCCTAGCTAATATTTAGTTACAGCTTTCAGACTTTTACAAGTTTTGAAGAAACATAATAAACCCCATACTCTTCAGCTACATTAGTACACTAAATAATGTGCCTTATTTGTAACCTGAGAACATCCAGTTTCGAATTCCTGTCACTGAATCTTGCTTTACCCCTGCCTGCTAATGACCTGCTTTCTTCTCCTTGCAAGGATAGTTATAATCTGATACAAGCACCTCTTGACACTTTCTGATAAGCAGCTGAACCTATTTGGTTTACCTCAGCCTGTGCAATCCAGTTTCCAGATGTCTAAATACTTCTGCAGGTTTTTTTCTGAACCCATTCTAATTCGTCAGCATCCCTTTTCATGCACAGACACCAGAACTGGACACTGCAGTCCAGTAATAGCTCATTACTGCCATATACAGAGGTAACATTGCCTCACAGCTTTCACTTAGCCAAAAAATCGTAATGGGGAGCTCACGTTCAGCCTGTTAGGCTGATAAGTTATCCTAACATTAAGATCTCCTGAAACTGCAGTACCTACGGAGATAGGTAGCTCAGAATACCAGACATAAACTACAGTGACCATTATTTAGACACTAATGGCCCACACAGCAGGCGCTGGTCAACAACGTCCAACAGTCACCCACCTCTAGTGTCTTTGCAGGAGTCTGTGGGAAATTGTTTCCCTCATTCCAAGCTTCACACAAGAAAAATCTCCTTTCACATTAAGCTTGCTGGAACTTTCAGCAGAATTTTTAACCTCCTTTCCGAAAGCAGTATAGCCAGCTTGAGCACTGATACAAGCAGACCACATGTAGCTATGTTAATGCCCCAAATTAAGGAGTAGTAATGGACGTGAAGGATAAAGCACTTGGGTGACTCCAGATATAGTACTTCCAGGATGAAGTTTGGTAGGAACCTCAAAGCATCCACTGTCTATACCCTTTTTTCTTTCCATCTTACTCAGTAGCATATATTCACCGTTCCACTTTTGATCGTTGTCAAGATGACACGTTTGGTCAACACTAAGCTTACAGTAACAAGCATTTCCTCTGCCTTGTGGCTGAACTACACGTTCACCCACCAGTAAGGGCAGACGTGGCTCCATGTCCTGAACCACTACCTAAAAATACAGCTCCTGCCTAATTACAAAAGCTCTGCCAAGCAGCAAAGAAAAAGTACAAGGTGTTTTTCAAAACCTAGGACGCCGGAGACAAAGCAGGTGCCCAGCACCGGCACTTCTGTGGAGGCCCTGATGACAAGAGCGGCAGGCCAGGAGCCCCCCTGGTGCCAGGAGCTCCCTACCCACTGCAGCTCAAGGAGGAGAAGAAAAGGCCGTAAGCACATACCGGGAGACTCTGGGGCAGAAAGTGGACTGTGGGGAGGTGACTAGCCAAACAGCTCAGACCAGTCACCTTGGGAGCCTCCACCTAAGCAAAGGTGCCTTGGGCAACTCAAGCGTCCCTTAAACTGAAGGCAGCTGAAGTCTTCGGATAGGCCAGCTGCCAAGAGACCGCTGCCCCAAGAGCATCGCCACAGGTGCCCCCTCCCCTGGGGAGGGCTGCCACGTCCCCCGCCGCTCCCGCCGCCTCCACACCCGCG